CAATTGTTTTAAAAATAATTAATGTCATATATATAGAATAATAATAATACATAAGGTGTATAGATGTTGTTGTAATGGGGTGCATAATTATAGGATTAGTAGGCGAATATAAAATGTTACATAATATGGTGTGAAATTTGATAAGATAGAATTCAATATTCTAAGAATAAAATATAAAAAATTGATAATTTCGGGTTCAGAATGACAAGCGGGACAAGTGGAAAAAATTCAGAGTGACAATAGTAATAACAATAATCGTAGTAATAAAGGAAAAGTACATAAAATAACTAAATAAACAAAATAAATAAATGTCTATCCCTCTACGGCCAAGGCAGAAGTAGGCATTGTACATACTTCTTTTGTACACAAAGACCTGTCTGACTGGCTTAAAGTCATGAATTGCTAAGGGCTCAGCTGTCTGTAGAAGTCCATAACGAAGAAAACGTGGCCAGCAAGTTAGCATGGATTTTATATATGTGATCTTAAAATCATGGTCATGGTTGGTGTGGAGTGACACAGAAGTCGATCAGGTATTCCAGAATAGAGCACTTCGCACACACACACACACACTTCCTTTCTCCCTTGTGGTAAAACCATGCTGTTGGAATATGTTCTCGTATCCATGTGGTGGAAGGCGGCGTCCTCTGACTACAGCCAATGTACCTTGCTCCACAAGAGCAGATGTTGTGTGGTGTTTAGAGGTGCTTTCGATTGCCTTTTTTCCACTCTCACCAATTATCTTGTTTTCGTTCTTTTAATCGAGAATTAACAGACGGAAGAAAGGAATCCCCCACACACACACACACTCAGAGGTATTTTGAGAGCCAGAAATCGATACTTGGTGCTTATTCATCAAATAATGTCCACAGATATTGATTGGAAGTTCTGAAGAAATATTCATGCAGCAGCCTTCATCCTCCCCCCCCACCATTTTGTTTAGCAATCTCAAGAGAATCCTCGTCGAGAATTCTTATCCAAACTGATGATTTATTGTAAAATCCATGAATCCTAGACCGCAGAAGCCGCCCACGCTTAGCGTCCCTAAAGTAACTACTCTACATGAATCTTCAACTCAATGGAGATATATCTGCGGAAATACCGGAAAATCGACTGTCGCGCTCACTTAAGAAGACGTTATTCGCAGATGAACTACGACCAACGTTCTCCACGAAACCTATGATTCATGTGAACGTGTGAAGGATAAGCTACGACTGCCGGCTGGCCTCATCAATGTGTACCTTTATCAATCCACCTGCTCGTGTGGAGACAGGTATGTTGGCCGTACCCAGCGTTCGCTTACCAAACGTATCACCGAACACTTACAAACATGGTTTTACAAAGGAGAAAAACGATGCCCCCCACTATCGAGCTCTATCTTAGAACATCTGATAGATTCCGCACACCAAGCTACACCTCAAACAAACTTCAAAGTTGTCTACAGAATACGAAGTAGTCCTTCTAAAGGTGTATGATTCAGACTTCTTCAAACTGCAGAAGCAATGGAGATTCACTTGCTAAATCCTGACCTGTGCATACAGAAGAAGAAGTTCATTCAATCACTACATTTGCGCAATTGACGTAATCTATCTTATCTATCACCAGACAGGTAAATTCTACCTAAGCCTTTTCTCTTCTGTCTCTTCATTAGTATAATTTTGCCTTCTCAAATGCAACATTTTACATTTCCAACCTTCTTGTTCTCTACTCGCCACCCGATTTAATTTCTGCACCTCATTACCGCTGTTCCTGACTTGATCGACGCTCAATTTCTAGTCATTTATGTTACATCATCCAACTTATTTGCTCAATTTCAGTTCTAATTTAAATGGCATTATTCTCTACCCCACTTCTACTTAGTCTCTCTCTACCTGTAATTACCTCTGTTGCTACCCTGACTTAAGTTGAAACATTTTAGTCAATTCTATTACGTCGTCATCTAACTTACCAACTAACTAACTCAATCTTACTTTAGTTGCTGTCTAATTAACCAACTTTGTTTCTATGTTAGATCATTCTTGCATTACCTGATTACCTGATCAATTATCTAAACTTGACAAACCTCATGTACACACACACACACAAATAGCATAAATCTGACAATACTTGGTATGAATCTCACGTTAACTACACACCACACCACACTACACGTGGTGATTAATGACTTCAGTCCCGCGAGAGATCGAATCTCACACACATGATCACACGATCAACCTGTGTAGGATTTCAATTTCAACAGTGTGTGGCAAATATTAAGGGTTAGCAAATATATTTTACCACTTTGAAAGTTAGGCAAGCATTCAAGATTATTATAATCTTGAATAAAAGTGCGAATTTCATACAATGAGATTCCCCTTTTGTGTATAAATTTGAACAAAGAAAGAGAGAAAGAAAGAAGAAGAAACACATTGGCGCGCGCAGAATAATCTGGAGCTATTTTTGATTTCATCGGCTCGCCTCATCGTCAGCAGCTGCAGATTTTATAGATTACCAAAAATACACAAAGGCAGAGGCAAAGAAGAACAGTTAATTCCTTGAAAAAAATTGTAGAAGAGTCATGATCAGGTTTCCAATTAATAAAATAAGGCAAATGTAGGTTGTATTATGTTTTATTTTCACCGGTTAACAGATGGCATATCACACTATGTATGATAAATATCTTCTTCTGTTTTTCCAGGTCATCATACACCGACTGTCGACCCAGATGAATTACGCTTAATTCCATGACATTAGTAAGATTGTAACAACAGAAGACAAGGGCCAGGAAAGAGATCGCTTATTAAGGAAATCAACAGATATTTATCGATTTTCACGTACATTATTATCGATTATTGTTAGCAGACAAACACGGTCTTCTGATTGGTTGTTTCTCTCTTTGTGGCTGTTTCTTGAAGGCCAGATCACCTGCCATCGGCTAATTTTATCCACCTACGCAAACAAATTGTTCTGTGATTGGTTGTTGGTTGAGCCAGTCAGTCTTTGTTCTTGTTCTTGCTTTCTCATGACCAATATTTGCGACATCAACAACATTGACGTAAAATACTGTCTACCAATTTTGGCTAGCGCAGACAGCTCTCACGACACTATTCCATCTATGCATAACTGTTATAATCCCTATTCCTACTTTGGGTCTATATATCTTTCCTATCGTTTGTCTGTTTGTCTTAGACCCTACGTAGGATTCTCAATAAAGCAGGAATTAGGCTGGTGGTGGCATTCAAACCTACAAACTCACTCAGGTAGGACAAGCTCTGTAGGTTAAAGAACCCTGTTGGTTGTTATAAATAAACAAAATAATTATAAAAAATTTGTCCCTTTTATAAATTTGCATTGCGTTGTGATGAGAAGACGGAGATTATCTAAAAAACAATGTGATGTGATGTATTTGCGCTATATATTTCAAACAATCTGATCCCTCACACATTTACTTGTCAAGTCGATATATACATGAAAATGTTAAATTAAACAAAGTGACAAAAAAGAATTAAGAATAATTAACACAAACGTTTGGTAATCCAATCAAATAAGGATTACCAAGGTAGGTTAAGAGTAATAATAAACTGTTTTTGAATATTACTGTTAACCTACCATAGTAATCCTTATTTGATTGGATTAACAAACGTTGTGTTAATCATTCTTAAATCCTTTTTTTTGTCACTTTGTTTAATTTAACATTTTCATGTATATATCGACTTGACAAATAAATGTGTGATCAGATAGTTCGAAATGTATACCGCAAATACATCACAACATATTGTTTTTCAGATAATCTCCGTCTTCTAATCACAATACTATCCAAACAAAATATTATAATTTACAAAATACCTTGCAATGACTGTGAGTTATGTCGACTACATTGGTGAAACTAGTAGTTCGGGGGTAATCGCATTGTTGGAACATAAGAATTTGGCTAAGGTAGGAATGGCTGACCTCACCCGAGATGATGAATAATTTAGGAAAAAGGTCAGCATTCCATTGCACAGTATGCATGCATTAAAACACAACCACACAACAGCATGGTGGGAGAGGGTTACAATTCTAAGAAGTAATATATGTAGGTGGAGAGAGAGAGAGGTTGATTACTGAATCCTGCCTGCTCCATCTAGTGACTCTTCACCCAACACATGCAACAGAAATGACTCAATGCAAATACCAGAGATATGTATGGAACATATTATTACCACCAGTCAGTCAGTCAGCCGTTTAAATCAGAGGAGGATAATAAATAATCTTAAATTGTATTCTATTTCAATTCAATTCACGTACATCATCATAACAGTGTGACAAGTTACTCACTTATTATGACTATAAAAGAAACACTCGTCTTATATCCTATCTGATTGTCATTGATCAGAAACACTCGCATTATTATTATTTCTGAATGTACATTATCCTGTAATTTTTTTGCTTCACGTTCCCCAGTGGAACATAGGGCTTCAAGATAGTGGCTTGAAATTTCTCTAGCAGTGTTTATTTTACAGGATGGGGTTGCTAGCCTCATGCCCAACCTTTCCTATTCCCCTAGGATTATTTCTGGCTTAGTGAGGTAAAGGAGTGCGTTGGCCGGGAATATAAGAACCCCGGACCATGTGCATGGACGGCGAGCGTCTTAACTCCTATGCTGCCGACGAACTTATCCCATATTACTGATTTGTATTCAAATGTCTAATCATCATGAATTCCACTCATGTATATAAATGAAGGAAGACGAAAGTTGTGTCAGTGAGTGAGTCAGTGAGTGACTTGATATGATGATTATGAGTGGCAATAATGAATTGTGCTTGAAGCGTGTGGTGGTATCAGTTAATATTACTTACTGTATAACACTATACACACACACTGTGAGTGACAGTTTATCAAAATAGAAAATCTTATCCATATTGGAGAAAAATATTTCCTACCTAGACATCGAAGTGTGAAACGGTGAAATACAAAAGATCACAACCTTGTTCCACTGAATAAGCATGTCAGTTGGCATAAAAATACGTAGATTGACCACTAACCAACCAATGCAGTAATACTGTTGTAAAATGAGAAAATTATTAAAACGTTTTGCGGTGCTTCCTCGGAAACTCACTTCAAACATATTCTTGCCTTTGAGGAGAACACGACCACCGAAACTTGCGCATCGTTCACGTTTCATGACACTGGCATTCTCAGGCATAATCACAGTCACCGGGATATTCAACAACTTTCCATGGTATGCCAATCCCAGGGCATGATTTCCAGCACTGCATGCAATGACACCACGTTTAGCCTCATCCTTGTATATACACACACATAAAAATCAATACATATTTCACAGGCACATTAGAGTTTGTGAGTACACTTTTTAAAAGGAAACAAAATAAATATACTGTTAACCGAATGGTACTCACTGACTGATTTAATCTGCCTATAAGAAAACGCCCTGCAATACGTCTTGTGAATGAAGTAGGAAGTACGCACCCATGCCACCACACCGCTGGGGTTCGAGCCCAGGACCACGTTGTGGTTACAAGGTTAGCAGCTGCTGAAGAGTCAGTCCCAAACTAGGCTGACGAAACAGTTGGCTGGCTGTCTGGCAGTACTCCCTCACTGGTTGGTTTTCCTTCCCTTGGTTGGTTCTCTAACGCTGATGTCAGTCAGTTCATGATCAATAATGAAATCCTCCATCCCATCCCATGATCAAACAAAAGTCCCTACAAAACTACAATACTTGAAAAGGATGAAACGGCAAGAAAAAGTAACAACACTAAGGTCGAATAAAATGCCACCCCACCCCCATTCCTCGAATAATTTATTCACTTTGCTTTCTATTCTCTATTTGATCACTCCATATGTTGGATTTTACCATTATTCAAATAATTAAGGGGAAAGTAATTTGTAAGGTGATAAAATTTCAAGGAAAAGTTGGTTATTTTGAAGAGATACTAAATGCTTTCGCGGATATCTTCATAATTTCATGTGGAGTGTGTTGGAGTAGGTTCGCTTAAATCTGCTCTTCCTGATGATGACTTACTGACTGACTGAGTGACTGACTGACTTGCTGACTGACTGACAGACAGACAGATCCGTGTAAATATCAGTTAGACTACACTCTTCTTCCCTTCTAAAGACATAAATTCCCTTCTCAGGTCAGAGGCAAACATGTATGAAATGTAATGTCAAACTTCTCCCGGCCGATGGTTAGGACATGTGTTACGTATGCGTGGCCTAGTCATCGCCTTCCTCGACCGACGGGCAATGTTAGCTGATATAGGGTCAGGCTGGAAAAGAGCTAGCTAGCGGCGGTCAATCCAAAACATGACCCCACCAGTCAATGAAATCTACAACAGTCAGTCTAAGCCACGTAGGAAGGTGTAGACTGGCTTCCTGACTGGTTGGGGTCCTCGAGACGGACAGTGAAAACCAATGAAGGCTGGAAACAATTGGTGACATGGCTCAAAATCGTTCTCGATGGCTAGTGCAGATGCATCCATTCCTTGTGACTTATGATTTTCAGTTAAACTGTTTCGTTCTTCGTTATTACTATTCCTTTGTCTCACACCTCTGTTTACTGTCTCTGTATTATGCATTTCATGTTTACTTTCTTCTGTTGCTTTGTGTGCTCCAAAGAGGGAGTGTGGCGACTTGAACTGCCGCACATATGTGCAAAGTTCTATGTCGACAAACCGATCGACCGACCGAATGTCAAACTTCTACATTAAATCTACTAAATGTATATGTAATACTAAGTTGTAATTATAATACAATTATTATTATTATTGTTTCCTTTAATTCCTAGAGGAACATAGGGCTTAAGCCACGCATCTCCATTGAGTTCAGTTCTCTGCTAGCGTTTTCACCTGGCTCCATGTCTGCCCACACGTTTTCATCTCCTCTTCACATGACCTCTTCCAAGTCACCTTTGGACGACCAACTCGCCGCTTCCCTTTCGGGTTCCACTCGAGCGATAGCTTGTCTAGTGATATCACTTGATGGTTTGCTTTCTCAGAGTATGGCCACAATCCAATCCATCTCCTTTTTATCCTGTTTATTTGTTCCACAATCGGCTCCTGGTCGGTTCGCTCCCAGAGATCTCTTTTGCTGATCTTTTCTGGCCATCTGATCTTGAATATTGACCGAAGACAACTAGCTGTCGATGAAGGTCTGTAGTTTGTTTGAGATGCTCTTTATGACGCGCCAAATCTCTGATCCGTATAGTAGCACCGACTTCACATTGGAGTTGAAAATCCGGATCTTATTTTTGACGCTGAGTGTTGTTGACCTCCACACAGACTTGAGAGAAATGAAAGCTTGAATTGCTTTCCTGATCCTCGCTTCTTTGATATCGTTGTCAGTTTCGCCTGTAGTTGAAACGATGCTTCCCAGGTCGGTGGGTAGGTAAAGGAGGTTGTTTCTTTCAGGTTCCTCCCATTTATGCTGGCTGATTGTTGTCTGTTGTTGTTGTTGCTGTCGGTGGTGTTGCCCGGGAATCTTCATCACCTCTGTCTTCTCTATGTTCACCTGAAGTCTCTCTTATCGTTTCTGGATGCTTCTTCTGTCAACTTGTTGCTTTTCAATTGCATGTCTTCCAGTTTGTGGGAAATCAGACATATATCGTCAGCGAAGTCCAGATCCTCCAAGTTTTTGGTGTGAGTCCATTTTATGCCTGTTTCCTCATTATATCTTCAATCATTCTATAATCCTAACTATTTCAAAACCATGATTTTCTATAATTGCTTTTGACGATTAGTTTTGTTTTGTTGTTACGAGTTGATCACAGATTGATATTGATCAGTTAGAGAACGATTGAAATTTAGCCACAGGGAATACTGCCAGACAGCCAGCTGTTTCATCTGCCTAGTTTGGGAATCATCATCGGCAGTACGCACCCACCACTACACCGGGGTTCGAATCCAGGACCTTCCGGTCACAAGGCAGCTGTCCAGTACTCTCAGAAGGATGCCAATTCTTCTCTAACTGAAATCAATCCATGATCAACTCGTAGAAACAGATAACTAACCCTTACAAACCAAACTATAGAAAAAATTAGTTTGATGCTCACTAGTGAGTGACTTGCTACAGGATGGAGTTTCCTGGAGTCAGTCAGTTCTAGTGAGAAGTTGTGACCATTGTGAGGTGGTGGTCCATCCAGATGTCACGTGTGAGGATAGATGTCCCACCGACGACATTGGTTGGTGCCAGTCACGCTAAATGCATCACGAATTGGTAGAAGTTAGAATTCATGCACTGGCTGGTCATTGGATCGGGTCCCAGTGGCTTCTCAATGGTCTACGAGCTAGCTCGCTAGTCTTGTAACCAGAACGTGGTCCTGGGTTCGAACCCTGTCAGTGAGGGGTGGGTGCGTACTGCTGAATAGCCGGTCCCAAACTAGGCTGACGAAACAGCTGTCCAGTGGTTCTCTAACGCTGATGTCAGTCAGTTCATGATCAATAATGCTGCTGCTGCTGCTGCTGGATTCAACATAGAACTTGGCACCGAAGTGCAACAGTTCGAGTTGCCACGTTCCAAATAACACACAAAGATAGACAGGGAAATGAGAGAAGAGGATCAATAGAATTTAGATAAGTATAAGAGTGAAACAGAATGAGTAATGGTGGAAAGGCCATTGACAACGATTTTGAGCCATGTCACCTATTGTCTGTCTCCAGCCATTGATTCTTAGAGTCCCGAGGGCGGGCCCCAACCCGGAAGTCTGCATCTCCCTCCCTACCTGACTCAGTTTAACTGTCAGGGATTTCATGGATTGATGAGGCCATGTTTTTGTTTGGCATCGCACCACCACTTACTCTTTTCCAACCTGCACTTACCTATATCAGCTAGTAACGCCCGTCGGGAGGGGGAGGCGATGGTTAGGCATGCGCAGCACGTGACCTAGCCATCTCAATCTATGTAACTTTATAGCCTCTTCGATTGATTTTCACTGATCAATAATGAAATCCTCCATCCCATCCCATCCCATCCAATCATCAAACAAAAATCCCTACAACAACAAAAAATCAATACTTTTAAAAATGGATACACTCTCGAAAAACAAAACAGAATCAGAAAATTACTCACAGGTGTTAACTGAAGTAGAACATTACGAGCGCCTCTTTCTTTGAAACTGGTAAAAGTAGTAAAAATATTTATTGGTTATATTTTTTAGAAAAATGGTGTGTGTGTGTGTGTTATAAATATATCACCTACCTTCCAGTGACTTGTAAAAACTCCTCTTTAAAGTAAATCTCCATGCCATATTCAGAAGACAGACGAGATTTCTACAACAAAATCAACAACAACAGCAGCAGCAGTGTGTGGTGTATATTGGTATTATTAGAAGGAATATTACAACACATTCTTTTCAAGTATTGGTTTGGTAGGGATTTTGTTTAATTGCATGGGGGATTTCATCATGAGCTGACATCAGTTAGAGAACCACTGGAAAACCCACCTGAGAGTACGGGACAGTTGTTTTGTCCCAGTTTGGGACTCTTCAGCAGTACGCACCCACCGGGATTCGAACCCAGCACCACGTTCTGGTTACAAGGCGAGTTCGTAGACCATTGAGCCACTGGGACCCGATCCAATGGTCCTTGAATTCTAACTTCTGCCAATTCACGCATGACATAGCGCGACCATTTCGCAATGTCTTCCTAGATGAGTTACTGCCTCATCTTCAATTGGCAGAAGTTAGAATTCAAGGGCCATTGGATCGGGTCCCACTGGCTCAATGGTCTACGAGCTCGCTAGCCCTGTAACCAGAAGGTCCTGAGTTAGAATCCCGGTGGGCGCGTACTGCTGAAGAGTCCCAAACTAGGACGAAACAGCTGTCCAGTACTCCCAGCTGGTTTTCTAGTGGTTCTCTAACTGATGTCAGCTCATGATGAAATCCTTCATGGAAATATTCTTTTCACAAAAATTCTTTTTGTCTCTTACCTTACAATTTGTATAAATTATACCATCCTTGATACGCTCTCTAGCCAGTCGGACTTCGTCAAATGTCAGCGTTTTCGGATTGGCAGGATCACAGTTTGCATCAAACAGATCGGGATCATCTTCACTCGGCAAGGGGATATCTGATATAAACGGTTGATCAGCCTTCATGTTTTCTTGAATATATAGAGTAGAGTAGAATTGATTTTAAATCAGGATAATAGTAAAAAAATCAATGAAATATAACTAACTCTGTAAGCATGTGTATATATTTATGTGTGTTTTTTTAATAATAATAATAATAATTTGCTTTATTCCAAAACAGTACATGTGGTACAAAATGGAATTCTCAGTATTTTTATTACAGTATTGCATCCATTTTGTGTACATTATCAATAAATAGAATTCTACATAGATTAAGGGTAATCTCAGTTCATTATTACAACAACACATTGGCATGTCGGTAGCAAAGCCAAAGCTGAACAATGTTTGAAGGTGTTAGAAAAGTAGATATACTAACATATTTACTGGCGTAAGCGGAAGAAAGAAACAAAGCAGTACATAACGGAAAAGAAAGAGAATGTTGTACCTATAAATGATATGAGTTGGAAAGACGAGATCCAGTTGTACTACTGACTATTTCATGAATTATAGGTGTCACGCCTAATGCTTTCTTTATCACACAGAACACGAGCTAAGTAGGGTTGAGTTTTTGTACTTGCTGGTGCGAGCATATAGTTTTCTATACATAGGCTTCTGGTTTTACCTGATGAGATGCAAGGGGAGAGTTGTGAATGAAGAGTATGGTGGTGTGAGTTAGATAAAATGGATTTGGCCCATTTTTCACATGAGTCCATGTGCCCGCCTGTCGACCAGAATATTAACAAGCTGGTTAAGTGGCACATTGCTTATCCTGGTGATAACCTTTAACATCCTGCGTAATATGTTATAGTCTTTCTTCAGTAGCCCTGGGAAAACTAAGGGGGAACAATAGAGAATAATAGGCAGGATGCAAGAGTTAACGAATCGTAAAAGCAAGGGTTGGGTTATCCCAGAATGTTTTAACTTCTTGATGTAGAAGGTAAGACGGAATATTTTCTTAGATATGAGACTACCAGGAGAGATCAGCAGATAGAATGACGCCTAGGTATTTAATTTCCGATTTGGTTTCTCTTTCAGTGCCATCTATGTTGCACACCTCATGAGTGCTCACCAGTTTATTTAGGTCAGATTTATACCTGAAGGTGAAATTGACTGTTTGACACTTGAAGGGATTTAAGGTAAAATCGTTTTCCTTGGACCACTGACTGATTTCTGAAAAAAAAAGCCATTTGGTTTGGAGCAGTCACTTTGACACTTGACAGGCAAAGATATAGTCAGATCGTCAGCATATTTGACAAGATTATTGTCATTTGAAGATGTTAAGACATGTAGAAAGAAAGAAAGGAAAGAGAAGTAGGGAGAGTACAGCACCTTGGGGGACTCCGGCTTCAGTGAGTACAGCAGAGAATGATTTACCTTTGTATACGGTGTACTGCTTTCTGTTAGAGTAGTAGGAATGCAACCAGTTAGTGACCCAGGACTCAGTTTTTGTCAAAGAGAGATTATTTAGCAGGAGACATCTAGGTACAGAGTCGAAAGCAGAAGTGAAATCGAGAAACGTGCAGCGGACGTATTTGGCACCTTTATCTAATGATGAGACAATGTTGTTGTGTAAGACAGCTGCAGCGTCTAAAGTACTCCTACCCAGTCTATTGGCAAATTGTTTGGGGTCTTCGAAGTTTTTAAGGGAGGGTTCAACTTTAAGAAGTATAAGTTTTTCCATAAGCTTTAGAAACGGGAAGTGATTGCAACGGGTCTGAACTTTACGTTCTTGCCGTTTCCAGGTTTAGGGACAGGGACAATTTTGATGTCTTTCCATGCATCAGGTACTACATTTTTGGAGAAAGGAGCATTTAGGATGTTGGTTAGTGGAGAACACAACGCATATGCACATTGTTTTAGAACATATGCAGGTTTATCATCAGGGCCAAGGCTACGTGAGGGCTTGAGCGTTTTAAGACATTTTAGAACATCGAGAGTATTAAAGTCATGAAAGTTTTCAGCTACATGATAGGTAACATTAGAAATATAAATCCTGCTTTATTAACCTATATTGCTTGTTTTAAATAAATGTTTCCAACATTAGAAATAGTTAAAGTAGAAGGACAGAGTATAAGAGACTGATTAAGAGCATCAACATCATAAGAGGGAAAAGCATTACAGCGCTTACTATTACCAGCAATTTCATTAAAAAGTTTCCACATACTGATTGGAGATTTACATGATAAAAGTGTATCATTATAGATAGCATTAAGATTTTTGATTTCAGATTTGATCTGAGCATTAATCCTTTTGAGTCCTACCTTGTCTTTGGATTTGTATAATGTTTCTTATTGCCTGCGAAGTTGTTTGAGATAAGGAGATGAGAAGCGGTCGAGGCGTTTGGATAATGTTTGTTTGGGACAGCATATATCAAGGCAGAACTTAAGATAATCCGTTATATTGACAATTGTGTCACCTAATGAACTTTCATGGAATAAATCCCAGTTAGTATTTTTTTAACATGCACCTTAGATTGAGTAAGTTGTCGGATGAGTAGCATCTTTGTTGTGCTTTCATAGACAGATGTGAGAAGACTTTAATATGTGTTTTGCTGTATATTTTTGGTAGAACACGAACAATAGAGTGATCAGAGTTGTCATGACATGACATATACATTCCTGTTTCATACCAATGCATATATACATAATTATGGACATCAATTTGATTACTGGGATAAGGCCGAAATTTTAGACAGAGGAAATACCAACAAAAGTTCAGTCAGGGAATTCCTAAAAGCCTGTTCGGTACTCAAACGAATCAGCCAGTGATTAACAAACACGTTGATATAGACCAAATGTACCAACTAATAAAAAGTAGACCATGTGACGACAAAGTTTATAATCCAAGTTAACAATAAAAATGATCAATACATATGTAAAGATGGTTACTGGGAGTCGCACGCAATTCTATCACTCGTGGAAAAAATTTAAATCAGTTCACTTTACGCTAAAAACTGCGCTGAAGGGGGATGTTGTCCAGCAAGCAGGGGGGTGGACGCCGAAAGCTCCGCAACTAAACCAACCACCTCTTCAGAGAACACTATTTAATTACAAAAAGAATAAGTTATAATAATTTGTTGAAGAATTACCATAACAGCTTTTTATTTTCACAAATCTAATCAACTCTATTTAGTCATATCAGCTTTGATTCATAAATCATACCATCTAGTTCATTCAGAGAAATAATTATCCCCTATAAGGATAAAATCAAATACCACGTGCGTAAAGTACTCTCGATTCACAGGGGAATTTCAACGCACTATGAATAATAATAATAATAGCTTTATTCCAAACAGTATTTGTGGTACAGCTATGGAATTTTCAGGGTGCATTACAATATTCCATCTAATTACCTCATAAATTTTATAAGATTTTGAAAACAAAAAGCAACAACAACAAAAAGAAAAAGAAAAGAAAAAAGAACAGCATTGCATTCACATTTTAAACAATGCACCACAGGAATATGAAATATAAAATTAGTGTGTAATAGAATATGTGAACAACAATATAATAGTAACAAAGAAAGGAAAACAAAAGCTAATGGGAACTAGTTTGTTAGAGTGCCGCAGTAAGTTGATCGTGTCATACCTAACGGATTTCTCATCACATAATAACAGCTGTGTCAGATAAGGTATTGTGGAGTTTTGTACTTGGTAGTCCTAGCATATAGCCTTCTATAGCTGCTTCTAGTTCTACCAGATGAAATGCAAGGAGAGAGCTGTGTATAGAGAGGATGCTCGGGGTCTGACAATATAGTATTCGCTAGTTTCTTACATGACATTATATGTCTATCCACAATAGTAGTAACCAGTTGGTTTAACGATATCTCACTTACCCTACTAACAGTTTTTAGTGCCCTTCTCAGCAAAGCAAAGTCTTTCTTAAGTAATCCAGGAAAGATTAATGGGAAGCAGTAAAGTGGGATGGGTAGCAAACACAAGAATTGACAAACTGAGAAAGCAAAGACTGCTTTATACCAGACTATTTTAACTTCCTAACGTAGAACGTTGAGCGAAACATCTTTCTAGTAACTAGCAAGATGTGAGAGGACCAGGAAAGATCGGAGGAAATACTAAGTCCAAGGTACTTGACATTAGATATAATTTCAACCTCTATGCCGTCAATGATAGTGGGGCCATGTGAGCTAGCTAGTTGTTGTAGGTCACGTTTTCGTCTGAAAGTGAAATTGACTACCTGACATTTAGACGGATTCAGCTTAAGACCGTTTGAAGAGGATCACTGACTAATTTCCGACAGAAAGTTATTTAATTTGCAACAATCTGACTGAGAGTTGACAGGCATAGAGACAGAGAGGTCATCAGCATACTTGACAAAAGTGGCTACATCAGAATGGGGCAAGTCATGTAAGAAAACAGAAAACAGAAAATGAGAAAGAACAGCACCTTGAGGAACACCAGCTAAAGGAAGTAAGGTAGTGGAGGACTTTCCATTATAGATGGTGTACTGCTTCCTATCAGAAAAATAGAAATGCAACCACTTATTTGTCCAGCTCCCACTCTGAGTTGCAGCAAGCTTACTTAGCAAGAGAGACCTAGGTACAGAGTCCAATGCAGATGTGTAATCAAGGAAGGCATACCGAACATATTTAGCTCCTCTATCTAAACTGGAGACTATATTATGAAATAGAACAACAGCGGCATCTAAGGTGCACCTACTATGTTTATAAGCAAACTGGTTGGGGTCATTGAAAGGCTTTAAAGAGGGTTCAAGATTAAGTAAAATAAGTCTTTCCATAACTTTGAAAAAAGGTGAGGTAATAGCAATCGATCGAAACCTAACAGTAGGTCCACTTGTTGATTTAGGCACTGGAACAACCTTGATATTTTTCCATGAGTCAGGAATAATACTTTTGGAAAAAGATTCATTGAAAATGTCGGTTAATGGGTAACATAAGATGTCAGCACACTTCTAAAGGATAACAGCAGGAACAGCAAAAGTAGAGAGGAAGAAAGACATCAAACTTGTACAGCCTGTCTGATACACAACTACACACATATGTACTGAATT